TGCGAAAAGTTTGTAAACACAACGGTGTTAGAAAGCCAGGAAAATGCAGTGCGCTTGTGTCCACAGCGGGGTTTTCAGGGGACCACTGTTTCTGTTGTCTGCGCTGAACTCGGCCCTGGATCAGCTGCTCAGTGTTGCTCCTCCCCCTCTGCATTTACAGGAAACCACATGAGTTTGTGTGAGAGAGAGAACATGTTCCTCCTGTTCTCATGAGCCTGCTGCTCCTCCCCTCTTATTGTTTCAGGTGAAGCTGAAGTGACAGACAAAAAGATAATACTTTATAATTCAGTCATGTAAAACATAAGAAATCCCTCATTTAGCCGACGCTTTTCTCAAAAGCAAATCACAATTGCTGTGTCAGAGGGCGCAGCTTTGGAGCAACTAGGGGTTAATGTCTGTGAAGATTCTCAGTCATCCAGGTCATAGTTATCCAACGAAGGTTAAAGTCGAGGGCAACTGGACTTGGTTGAAGATACTGGAAGACGTTTTGGATGAGGTACGAAATATAGCAAAAATATTTTCTTTTAATGCAGACTTTGAAAAAGGCTGAGTCTCTGAGACTGGAAGACCTGAGCAGTGAACTAAGGTGTCCTGAGAACACGATGGGGCATCAGTGGGTACATGATGTCAAACAATGGACTACTGATGGTGCAGTAATTTATGGACATTTTCCTAAGTACTTCACTAATATTGCAGTTTGATAATCAGTTGTTTAACTGAGACTCTTTGCAATGCATGATGATTAAGTAAGGGCGTGTTCTGTTTTGTTTGCTATAAACGTGTGGGCTTATAAACCCCTTTGAGACTGTAAACAGGGATTTTGGGCTCTAAATAAACTTAAACTTGAATTTGAAACTCCCTAAATGTACATCCTTTACTTGTATTGTTGTTGCTTTAAGATTCTGTAGGTTCCACATGTGATGACCAACATAACCTTCAGACATCAACTGAACAAATGTTTCTTGGTGTTGATCAAAAAAAGCCAGTCTTTATAATCAGACATGTATGTTGATCTAATATTTTTGTCTTGCAGATGTCTTCTGCATTATGTTTTCTGTCTTTTGTAATTTTTATAGACAGCAACAAAATTCGACTCTTGTGCCGAAGAAAATTGTGGGAAGAGAAGAGAAAACTCTTGCAAACAATCAAACTCAATGAGCAGGTGCCAGATGAGGAGCGCATCGTTGAGGAGCAGGTGGAGAGAAGACAGTCTGATATGGCCGTGTGTGCACAGCAGTGTTATGGAACAATTTCTCTCTAAGGCTACTGTGTGTGTAATTAAGCAAACTAATGATATGCTGTATATGTTTGATCTGTAATTTTTGTGCAGTTTGTGGGACCTTTTGTGTTTTGTTGCTGTTTTGTAGTTTGAAATATTAGAATAAAACACAATTACAATGTATATTTCAATTTGACAGTTCTGTTGCTGACTGCTACACTGGGGATTTACTCCCTTACTCTTTACTAGGTGACGTTATTTCAACCACTAGGTCTCCATCTGGCTCACAACACTTCTGAGATAGGGTGGGGTATTTAAAGGCTCCTAAGCAGCTGAGTAGGATCTCATGAAATAAAGAACAAGGGAGCTAATCTTTACTGTGTTCTGTGTCTTTCTAACTTCTTATTTCTTCATACGCTTACTTTTTTAATCTAAAATTGTGCTGCAACTGGTTATGGGATGTACAAACACTTGTGTTTTGCCTGCTGTTTAGAACGTACAGGTCAAACTGGTATTGAAGTGATGATATCTGTGTGCCTGCAGAGACCAGCAACATCCTCACCAAGAAGAGGATATTTGATGCCTACATGTCAAATGTGCGGCTTCAACAGGAAAAGATTATTGCGATGAGAGAGATGAGACAGCACTCCACCTATCTCAGAAGGCTGGCTGGGAACATCAGGACAATGATATCAGAAATGTCTTCTGGCAGAAAGAGTGGTAAGAAGCCAACTTTTATTACCTTCTTAGTGTGATGCTTTTGGGGATACTATAGATTCAAACCCACCACAGCTGCATATCCTGGTTATGAACGATATAGTTTGAAAAATGTTTATTCAAGTTTTTCCTCTTTTGCCTCTCTTTTGTTTTCCTTCTAGGCAGTTTAACTGAAGAGGGTCATCGTGGGCTACTGTGTCTTCTTCAGAAAAGGCTTGCAGATGTGGAGGATAAGTTCCAAGTTGTATGCATAAGTTACAGTCAGGCGTCAGGACCAAATGCTGCAACTCTGCTGGAGGATGGGTCCGAGGAGATACTGGAGCACCATGATGAAGTTAATTATGAGAGTTCAGATGTAAATCAGTGGTTCTCAACTGACGTGATGTGTTTAGACTGCATGTCAATTCTGAATGGACAGCAAGTGTGTTTCAAGGAAAACAAAAAACCTTATTTGGAAGTGTGATGGATGTCTAATATAGTACTTTTATTTCCTTTTGTTTCCTCTAGTGTGTAAACAACATTAGCTTCATAGGTGGAAAGCTCAGTTTACAAAAAGCAGGTTGATAAGTTTCCTCTCCACCTCCGATGTTTCACAGTCAACTCTGGTGCTGCAGCTCGCGAATGACAACAGCTTGTTGCAGTGGTGACTTTCCCAATGTGCTAGTCAACGCATGACCTGTACTGTAGCGAAACAGTCATTCAGAGATTTGCAAAGTGCTTTCTCCCTGCGTTACTACTTACATGTTTCTCTTACATAGATGTAATATAGTTGATTTGTTTCTACTGTATACTCATGTATATTTTTATTCACAGTAATGTAGATACTTTTGGAGTGACCTGTTTATGTATGTATCAGAACATAAAACATTTTCCAAAAATAACTGGTTGATACCCATAGTTGAGTCTTGAGTGTAGTGTTTCCTGTTGTAATGACTGCTGTTACCCTGGCAACAAAAGGAAGTACTTTATCATTACTTTAGGGAAATATAAAACTATGTTGTACATGCTTAGAAACTAGTTCATTCGTTGTTCTTGTTTTTTTCTCTGTCTTCTTGAACATAAAGTATGTGAAATTTCTGATTTGTCATTTTTATCTAGCTGAAAGTAATCACACAAAATAACGTTTTCACATGTTTATTGCCAAGTAGGTATATAGTTATGTACTAATGAATTACCTAATTAACTAGTAAATTATAGTCATAAATAAGACATATTTATTATCCTGCTACATAAATGTGCACTGCATATAAGAATAAACACTACACAGCTAATATTGTAAATGATGGAAAGGGAAGTGACATCAACGGATACCCTCTACAAGTTAATATTTCACCTAAAGAAAACGAATAGCTATCTGGTAGGTTGATTTCAACATGGATATTACATAGTTTTAAATATTTGCTGGCAACATGAATTATTCATGTTTGTTTCCTACACGTTTAAAAAAAATTCACCTTACTTCCGTGTCTGTGGTCGGGCTACGAGCCGACGCCAACATGGTTGTCTTAGCAACGATCATGAACCTGGCAAAAACGCATTTTTGGCTAATAATAATCATCGTAAGACGCCTTTTTTTAATCTTAATTCATACAACGTGTATTAAGCTTTTGCAGTAGAATGTCTGTTAGGAATTTACTTTATATTATAGTTCTTTTGAAACCCTACTTACTCACAACCCTAGTTTGCAAACCGGAAGAACTACATATTTTAAGAGTTGTCTTATCACGTTGTAATCTGCTGCAAGTTCAAGAGCTTTGTATAACAGCCGGCTCATTGTATCCCCTTCTGTTGTTGAGTTATAACAATCACATACATAAATGTCAAAGTTCAAAGGTCAGTATTTCAAAGTAGAAACCATGTACTGCCTTCAGATTGGCATAATGTTACTCTCCTGATCAATAGCTTTCCAATGATGTATTTGGTTTAGTCCTATGAGAACATTAAATTTTCACCCTGTCCACTCAGCCCTTGTGTCGGTCGTACATTTTAAAGAGACATGAAACGGTCTAATCCATAAATGTTAATAAAAATGTATTAGTTGAATATATATATATATATATCATGTAATTTTGTGCCTCTTGGAACATGTTTCTGAAATGTTTTTCACAAACACTAACCCTATGAAAATCTTTTTCGGTTGCATTGTATCTCAAGAAAACAGTTTTAGAGTGATCTCAAATGAAATGAGTTTATGAATTTATATACGGGGGTGAGTTGCATAAATAAAAACCTGTAGATATGAGGATTTGTAAAAACAGCAACAGTTAAATACGCAAGCCAAAGCTTATGGACTAATAATAATTTAATAACACATTTTATTTGTAATGCACTTTATATTTGAAGCAAATCTCAAAGTGCTACAGATAAAATCTTAAAAGCAAGCTAAAAACATCAATATAAAATACAAACAGATAATAAATCAATTGGCAGGGTTGATAAAAACTCATACGTTTTGCTAAAAAGAAATGCTTTTGGTCCTTTTTTGAAAGTCTCAGTAGTCTGAGGTGCCCTCAGATGGTCGGGAGGGCATTCCAGATCCGAGGAGCGGCAGAACAGAAAACACCCGTGGTGCTGAGCTCAGTCCTGGCGAGAAGGAGGCAGTTTGAGTTTGCTGAGCGGAGGGATCGTGTTGTAGTTACAGGGGTGAGTAGTTCTTTCCATAGATGCACTGGTGGGTGAGAAGGGTGACCTTGTAATCAATCCTCCCAGAAACAGGAAGCCAGTGAAGTGAAAGGAGAATTGGTGTGATTTACTGGTCATGTCCCTGACCCTCAGCTCTATTCAGCCCTCAATACTGCAAATCTCCAGTGTCCATCCTCTCATTCCACTACTTTACACTTTATAATGTTTATACTGCGGTCATATGGCTAAATGGCTATATACACAATTTGACATCATCTTATTTACCTTAGAGATGGTATTATATGACACTTCCTATAGCACAAGCTTCAAGCGCAGTATAAGTAAAGTACACACTGTTAGTAATAGTACATCACAACAGCAGCATATCTTCATCAAGTAAGCTGAATGTCAGTGGGTGAGTCATTAAACATTACTGACAAATCATGATAATTATAGTGTTGTTTGTCCATAAAACACAGTTCTCTTTTTGGAACGAGCTCCTCATTTTTGCTTTCATGGTCTGAGTCCTTCTGTGCAGTATTTAACCAGTTCTGAGTGAACTTCACTCTCCTTCATGTTTGTTTATTCCTGCATTTCTTCCCTTCAACACCGGCACATATAGAAGAAGAACAGAACGCACCACGTTTGCGACAGAACGAAATAAACAATAGAGCATAACTTTAAAACAATAGACATTTCTGTATCGTCCAATAAAATGCAGTCATTTCGCACAGGCCTAATCCTAAATATGGGCAAACACAGGCGTCATTTAAGTGATGATAACAGCTAAATGGAGCAGTTTATGGAATTTGACGAGAGGTACTAATCAAATAACTGCTTAAATTATATCTAGTTTTTTTATACCCATTTCTTTTGAAAGCAGGGATGCCCAGAGTCTGAATCTTTTTAACATTTTCACATTATGCCTTCCTGCCAATGCGTTTGGGGACTTCGGTGGTCCAATAAGGGCTGCTGGGGGTCCAGACAGGGCCTTCAGTGCTCCAGCTGAGTGTGTTGGGGGATCTTGCAGGGATGTTGCTACCTGGGGATCTGGGGTCACCATTGGTGGTCCAGTTGGAGCTGCTGGGGGATGAAGTAAGGCCACTTCTACCTGGGGATCTGGTTGGGCCATTCGTGGTCCAGTTGGGGGTTCGACTGGTACTGAAGAGGGTTCATCCTCTTGTCCTGCATCACCTACATTATAGAAGTACTGAATTATTCAGAAACTACTGATTGTTTTGATTTAAAGGACTGTTTCCAAGACATGTGATGAATGTTGGAGATAGTCTTGTGGTTGCAACTTTTTCTACTAGAATTGTATAATTAAAATTATAGCGTGGCTAATTATCTTGTCTCCCAATTCAACGTCATAGTTTATGTTATAAACACAACAAACAATAGTGTGACCGCGTCACGTGTGCAGCTCTGATCTGCATCATCTATAATGTGCATAGAGCACTAGGTTTGGGACCAAGCGCTGTCACCAAGCATGAGTGATTATCAGGTACAAACCGTAAGAGGAACCTGCTGAAGACCAAGCAGATGCAATTTTTACATCTATATTTATTTGTTAAGCTTTTATTTAAAGCGACTTACAATTGCTATATAGGTCAGAAGTTGCACGCCTCTGGAGCAACTAGGTGTTAACAGTCTTGCTCAGATTGATGGGTGTCCCAGAGGGAATCGAGCCGTTTTATCCACTGCACCATCACCACCCCCACAGTATTATTTTATTGATACGTAAATGCGAGCAGTTAAATAGCAGGCGGGTTAGCTTTCAACCTCCCACAGTTAGTTTCAATAAGTTAGCTAAAAGTATCAACCATAATCTGAAAGCTCCCCTAGTCGAGAGAAGGCAAACAGCCTTTTCTGTGACGTGGACACACGTGATTTATTTATAAAAAACAGAACATTCTCACCTTGAAGAACAACATCATACAGGTCCTTTATCTGTAAGACATGTATTGGATGTCTCTGGCAACGGGGTGCACAAACCTCAGACACCCAGGCATTTTTTTTTCTTGCAGGCCTTCAGTAATATAGCCCTTACACAAACACACACACATAAAAAGAGATTCATATTTAAACATATAAGGGACCTTTGGAATATAACCTGCATGAAAATAACAACAACAATCACATAGCAACATATACGCATCATCCTGTATGTGAGAGGGGTCTGATTATTTTTCTGGGTAAGGACCCAGCTCTCCCGCTTCTCATCGAACTCTTGCAATTGTTTCTTTAGCCTAAGCTTATGCGGCTGCTCTGCATTGCATATGTTGCAGGTTTTGCAGGCTACATTTTTGGTCATGTGCGGCAGGCCGTGCATTTCTGACTAGTTGACCACTGGCCTGATATTTCCATCAGAGATAGAGCAAGTGGGAGATAAACAACATCTTAGAACATAGACAAATATATTTTGAGAAGTTCTTCTTTCACTCAAACAAACCAGGACCAGATTAAACAAAATTTAAAAGCAATACTTGACAATATTATCTGTTTCGTGCAATAACACCTGCTTAAACTATAATGTGCAATATTCTGCTGCTACTATTTATTTATTATTACTGTTCACCATAACAATTCCTTAACTATGTAAATACTGTACATATCCTTTTCCTGCATTCTGGAGACATTTTATGGTTGAAATGTCTTTTATACAACATTCAGGTCTAAGGTAAAAATATAATGTAATATAATGCCAGCAAATTGTTTTTTTTTAGCTTAAGTTACTTTCACAGCTCTTGTTAGAAGGAATTTATCAGAAGCATTTTAACAAATACTTTCAAAAAGTGATGGGGACAAAATCAGCCATTTCAAAAAGTGATGGGGACAAAATCAGCCATTTCAAAAAGTGATGGGGACAAAATCAGCCATTTCAAAAAGTGATGGGGACATGTCCCCAGCGTCTGTACATCTATAGTTGTGCTAGTGGGCTGCTGGCTGAGGGTCCCTGTATTTCACCTGGGTCTGTGGGACCTGCTCCAAAGGTCTGCACTCTGTACTGGCTGATGATCCAGCATCTGCTGACAAACTTCAGCACAGCACCTGTAATTTATAGAAAACAATAGTTGCTAGTTATTAATGTCATCAGGTCCATCAGGGCCGCTCTTTTAATACATTTTAAAATGTAAAAAACTATATGACCAGACTGAATACGTGATGTTAATTATTTACTGAGAGCATCTATTTTGCCCAGTCTGCCCAGCTAATGAACATTTTAATAATCAATAGTTAAAGTGAATCCACAGCTTTCCATCTTGCAGAGCTGACTAGGAGACAGAAAATCACTGTCTTGTTTTAAAATGATGAGTTGCTATGAGGAGAAGTCTCCCATCACACCTGTGTCTTGTCTGGACTGGTTCCACTTATGTGGCCCAGTTTAATTTCATGCACGGTTTTATTTTCCGAGGTGCAGTTTGCCAGTTATCACCTTTTACATTCAGTCTATGGTTATCACACGTAATGAAACTTTATAATTCACCGTGACATTGTTCAGACACAAAGTCTGCAAGCAACCAAAACACAGTCAGAGCACGATGTACTTCTCAATAAGGCTGCACCCTTAAAACACTTTGTTGTTTAGCTTTGCTAACGTTGCGTAACTTACAAACTCAAAGAAAAGAAGAAACAATTACTGTGACTTTGCAAAGTTGGGAAACTGTTACGCTTCCTAAATGTAGCCACATAAGTTGTATCAACTCACCTTTGAAGAAGTGATCACTGCACACATTTTCAGATTCAGCTCCTCCAGATTTTTGTAGGTTTGCATTTTTCCCCTTTATGAACAACAACGATCAAAACTCCTCGTGGTTTCACGGTTTAATCGATTTAACCAACCATAAACGGCGCAAACAGACATTCTCAGTTTGTTATGGTGCTTCCTAAATGTAGCAAATCACTTCCTGCTCTCCATCTGCATTTCGCGCCATGGCAACGCAGTGACGTGACGTCATATGCAAACAAGCATCGGCATTGGTTCACTCAGCCCGGCAGTCTGGAGCAAACCTGGAGTCCTCAGCTGTTACTACTTAACCATGAGTTAAAAGGTCGTACAGGATGTGACGCCTGTTGCAGAGGAAGACTGTGCTGCAGTGACCATCATGCAGTTTAATGGTTAGATGATTACTGCAGTTCCAGTACAATAACATTTCTACACTGAGCAGGCAATACAGACAAATCAGTGAAGAGTTTGAAAGCGTCACAAACTGAATATCAGCCCTCCAGATACATGAAAGACAACTTGCTTTTGACACAACCAGAAGCAATGTTCAAAGTATCTACACATACTTAAAGTCATTCTTTTCTGTGAGGCGCCATGAAGTTTAAAAAGCTTAAGAAACCATAGAAGTCTATTGTAGGTGTTGCCTCTACTTGTCTCACCAATAGAGGTCCATTAAAAGGCACAAGAGGCTCCTTCTTTCTCTCCTGGGAGTTCAAAAAGGCTAAACCCCCTGCTGTTGAGAATGTTAATGATGATCTTTTCTTTCTTTCTCGCCCCCTGCTTTAGTTGCTGTCGGTACTTATTGTGTATATGGACTATATTTGTGTGTGTGTGTGTGTGGGAGGGTGCTGTCATGAGCATTATTTGTGTGGGTGCATCAGTGAAGCACTAATGAGGATTGGAAGCTCCGAATCCTGTTGTTTGACAAGACAAGCAAATAAAGATTTAATTTGAATCTTTTATTTTCTGGTATGTCCTCCCTCCTTACAAGCAATTACAACCTGATAAATGTAAGCATACAAATCATATATATATACATGATTTGGAGATTAATAGATGATTAATAAAGGAACCGCAGCCACAGAAACCTTTTCACACACTGTCTGCATCAATTAGCATAAAATATCCTTCAAAACACACACATCCATAACACATACACACATCTACTGCTACTACCGTATAATCATTAACATTCTCAACAACAGGCAGTCGAGCCTTTTTGAATATGAAGCACATGAGAGAGAGAGAGAGAGAGAGAGAGAGACACAGAGAGAGAGAGAGAGACACACAGAGAGAGAGAGAGACAGAGAGAGAGAGAGAGACAGAGAGAGAGAGAGAGAGAGAGAGAGA